GGCTGGATCTCCAACCAAAACCTCATTTGCTTTGATGTGGAAGACCGTTCAATGAGAGCAGTAAGTGCAGTGATCCCTTGAAGGAAAGACACAGCACAACCATCTCCCTTTCAGGTACACTGTGCTCAGGGAAAGAGTCACATTTCTTCCCAATTCCCAACAAAGGATTCCCCCAGGTATTGGTGCGACCTATAGAGATTTGAGGGGAACAAAATTTGGTTTATACCCTCCTTCCACCTGCCAAACCCTGTTCTCCTTTCCCCACTCGTGCTGTTCCTTATTGAGAGCCTCTTCTTTACTGCTATTTTTAGAGTAGGTGATATTTAACGGTTTTCCCACTTGAAAGGCTCTCCAGGCTGCATTTCTACCTTATCTGTCTTCTGTCTGTTGTGATTCAGAAAGCCAAAGTTCGCAAGCATCAAGAATACTCTTCTGTTTCACGTATCTCTTATTCTTTTCTCAAGGATATATATATAGAGAGAGAGAGAGAGAGAGAGAAAGATGCGAGAGTTATCCGGAAAGTCAGGTTACAAGGCATCTATTCTCGCGGGGGTATCAGTACTATGTAGCGAGAAGCCAGCGGAAAAGAATGAGCAGTGCCAGTCATCAGAAGCTCATCAACTGTCATTGTGGTGTAGGTTAGAGATGAGCGTCCTCATTCCGTTTTTCTCCGAGGGTGAAGTTCGCGCTGTAATACACTACCTAAATGCTAAGGGCATGTACACCACTGCGATTCATTGCGAAGTCATTTCAGCTTATGGAGAAGACGTAATGTCAAGACAGCTTGTAACCAAATGGGTACGGAATATATTGCGACACCATGAATGCACTTCGCAGAGCCATCCAAAACAAACATTGAGGGATGCTGATGGTGGGAGTCTGTCTCCCTCATGTCAATGTGCATCCACACACTGCTCATGCCACACAAGAGTGGTTGACTTCATTGGGTTGGGATGTTTTCAGCCACCCCTCTCACAGTCGCCATCTCCCACCCAGTCATTACTGCTCAAGCAGGGAGCTTTGAGATGGTTGAACAGAAGCTCTCCGAAGCTTTAGATGCTCTTGCTGCCCATTACAGGGAAAACCAGCTGATCCCTAATCCATCTAAAACACAGATGTGTGCTTTTCATCTCAAGAACAGACAAGCATCCCGAGCTCTGAGGATGATCTGAGAAGGAATCCCACTGGAGCATTGCAGCACACCCAAATCCCTGGGAGTCACTCTGGACCGTGCTCTGCCCTACAAGAAGCACTGCCTGAACATCAAGCAAAAAGTGGGTGCTAGAAATAATATCATACAAAAGCTGACTGGCACAACCTGTGGACCACAACCAGACACAGTGAAGACATCTGCCCTTGCACTATGCTACTCTGCTGCTGAGTACGCATGCCCAGTGTGGAACACATTTCACCACACTAAAACAGTGGATGTGGCTCTTAATGAGCATTATCACGGGGTGTCTGCACCCTACACCACTGGAGAAATTACACTGTTTAGCCGGTATTGCACCACCTGACATCCGCCGGGAAGTAGCAGCCAATAGTGAAAGGACCAAGGCAGTGACATCTCCACCCCATCCCCTGTTTAGGTGTCAGCCAGCACGTCAACGACTTAAATCAAGAAGTAGTTTTCTAAGATCTACAGAGACACTCGCTGGAACACCTCAGCAAGCGAGAGTCCAAAAGTGGCAGGCTCAAACCCAGAACCTCAATGGCTGATACCAAATGAGAGACTCCCCCCTGGGCACACAGAAGACTGGCGACTTGGAAGGCGCTGAACAGACTGCGCTCTGGCACCACGATATGCAGAGGCAACCTCAAGAAATGGGGCTACAAAGTGGAATCCACGACATGTGAGTGTGGAGAAGAGCAAACCACTGACCACCTGCTGCAATGCAACCTGAGCCCTGCCACATGCACAATGGAGGACCTTCTTGCAGCAACACCAGAGGCACTCCAAGTGGCCAGCTACTGGTCAAAGGACATTTAATCAACTACTAAGCTTGCAAACTTTGTGTTTTGTTTGTTTGTTTGTTAAAAAATGCAATACAACTGTTTGGTTTGCTCCTGACACAATAAATGAAATCCTAAGTAATGAGGTGATATTGTTTGAGCTAATAACAACATGTTCTGTTGAAAGCCACTTCCTAAGCTTTGTAGCTAAGCAAAGGTTTGAACCTAAATATCTTTAGACTTGGGAACGTCGGGCATTCTACCTGCCCTTATCCCTCACTGCTTGCTATCTTGTAGACGAACAAGATATGAATGTCCCATGGTCACCATCCTAACTGTATAGCATCTTCCCTTAAACTTTTATCAGTGTTGAGCTAGAAATACATCCTTGCCAAATCTAATTTTGAGTAATTAATAAATAGCTTCAGGAAATTGGTCATATGGGATGTAGAAATTTAACAATCTGGCCTGCTCTAAAGATGGAAGATGGAAACATATTCTGTTGCATATTTGTGGAGGCAGTGGAATTTCCAAGCTGAGCTGTTTCTCTGGTTTTTCCAGCTGCTTGTCCATCTTGCTGAAACACAGGAATGCCTTTGCGAATTCCTGAGTGTTTTGTGGAATAAATCCCCCCACCCAAGAAAATACCGAGTCATTCTTTTTCTCTTGTTCCCACTGGTGTATTCAATCCCGCTTTACAAAGATGGGAGTTGTAGTCTGTTGCCATTACCCATAGTTCCAACTTTCATGAAAGGTATTGAATGAAATCTATATAAATAAAAACGTAATGTTCGTTTGTGGGATTAACAGAACTCAAAAACCACTGGGGGAATTGACACCAAATTTGGACACAAGACACCTGACAACCCAGTGTATGTCATTCACTCATAAAAATACTGAAAAACACAGCAGAAGGGACTTAAAAAGCCCCAAAAAGCTAAAAGACGAAAAGCTAAATGACAATACAGAAAAAAGGGAAGAAAGAGAGAGGGAAGGGGAGAAAAAGAAAAGAAAAAGAAAGGGAGGGAGGGAGGGGATAAAAGAAGCAAAGGGAGAAGGAAGGAAAGAGGTAGAGAAGGAAGAAAGAAGGGAAAGGAGGAAGGAAAGAGGGGGGGCGAAGGAAGGGGGAAGATGTAGAGAAAGAGGGAGGGAAGGAAAGAGAAGGAAGAAAAGAGACAGCAGAAGAAAAAGAAAAAGGGGGAAGGAAGCAAAGAGACAGAGAAGGAAGGAAGAAGAGAAGGAAAGACGGGAAGGGAGGAAGGAAAGGGGGAGTGAAGGAAGGAGAGAAAGAGGGAATGTTTGTTTGTGGGATTAACAGAACTCAAAAACCACTGGACGAATTGACACCAAATTTGGACACAAGAAACTTAACAAACCAATGTATGTCCTTCACTCAAAAAAATTGATTTTGTCATTTGGGAGTTGTAGTTGAAACCCACCAACGATGAAATTGAACCAAACTTGGCACACAGTTCTCCCATGACCAACGGAAAATACTGGAAGGGTTTGGTGGGCAGTGTCCTTTGGTTTTGGAGTTGTGTCCAATTCTGGGAACCACAATACAAGAGAGATATTGACAAGCTGGAATGTGTCCAGAGGAGGGTGACTAAAATGATCAAGGGTCTGGAGAACAAGCCCTATGAGGAGCGGCTTAAGGAGCTGGGCATATTTAGCCTGAAGAAGAGAAGGCTGAGAGGAGATATGATAGCCATGTATAAATATAAAGAGGAAGCCACAGGGAGGAAGGAGCAAGCTTGTTTTCTGCTTCCCTGGAGACTAGGACGTGGAACAATGGCTTCAAACTACAAGAGAGGAGATTCCATCTGAACATGAGGAAGAACTTCCTGACTGTGAGAGCCGTTCAGCAGTGGAACTCTCTGCCCCGGAGTGTGGTGGAGGCTCCTTCTTTGGAAGCTTTTAAACAGAGGCTGGATGGCCATCTGTCAGGGGTGATTTGAATGCAATATTCCTGCTTCTTGGCAGGGGGTTGGACTGGATTTTTATTTTTTTTGTCATGTCAGGAGCAACCGCTTCTGTTGTGAGAGAATTGGCCGTCTGTAAGGACGTTGCCCAGGGGACGCCTGGATGATTTTCAATGTCATCCTTGTGGGAGGCTTCTCTCATGTCCCCGCATGAGGAGCTGGAGCTAACAGAGGGAGCTCATCTGCCTCCCCCCGGATTCGAACCTGCGACCTGTCGGTCTTCAGTCCTGCCGGCACAGTGCTTTAACCCATTGCGCCACTGGGGACTGGATGGCCCATGAGGTCTCTTCCAACTCTTTGATTCTATGATTCTATGATACATGGGGCCAAGCCCGGACAACATAATACAGCAATAAAATCAAAACATATACAACAAACAACAACAACAACATCAAAGTGACATTAAAAAGAAAAAATCATAAAATAAACATTCCAATAAACACAATCACGGTAATGATGACAATGGGCGGGCCACATATTCAGGATAAAAAACAGTTAACAAACTATAATGAGATAAAATAGGAGCAGGCCGTTTATATGGAACTCATAAAATGCATAGGGTTGTGAGGCTGAACATCCTATCTGGAGAGCCGTTCAGCAGTGGAATTCTCTGCCCCGGAGTGTGGTGGAGGCTCCTTCTTTGGAAGCTTTTAAACAGAGGCTGGATGGCCATCTGTCAGGGGTGATTTTAATGCAATATTCCTGCTTCTTGGTATGGGGTTGGACTGGATGGCCCATGAGGTCTCTTCCAACTCTTTGATTCTATGATTCTATGAAACGTTGAGGGGTGCAAAATATCATGCTGTGCACCTACTCACCAAAGGCGCAGTGGAAAAGCCAGGTTTTGAGGTTCTTTTTAAGCGATTTTCCAACCAGGTAAGCCGTGCACTTTTGGCAAGGAGAGGGTTAAGAGGACAGGGCTTTGGGTTTGCTTGAAGCCAGTTTTCCGGAAGTGTTTTGGCACATTCCCCAGACCATCCCTTGGGTAAACATCAAGGTGCAGTAGGTGATATCATTCCCGGCAGACTTCAGCCTTGGTTGCTCACAGCTTTGCACAACTTGTAGCTCCCCAGACCCCAGAGGGATCAATGCTTCGCCAGAGTTTCGAGACATGATTAAAAGGCTCAAGAAGGCCCTGAGAGAATTTCCTTTAATGGGGAACTGTGTGAGTGAGTATAGTGGGTGAGTTCCATTTCTTCTTCCCTTTTTCCTCCTTTCTTTTCCCCCCAAGTTGTTGATTTACTTTGGTAGCTTCCTTCTCAAACGTATACTGAGAAATGGTTCACAGAGCTGGGGGAGGAAGAACGAGCCTATTCTGGATCCAAAATCGTAACAATACTCGTTTAAAAAAAAAGCACAACGAGAAGAGGCGAGTTCGCTTTGAAAGAACGGTTGAGAAAAGAATACTTTTTTTGGAAAACCTAAACCAGCTTTAGTTCCCAAAGTGAATTTACGACTTCTGACTGCTTTGGTTGACTTCTCACTGCTTTGGTTTTGAAGTGCATCCTAATGTGTGACATGGTTTTAATTTGTATACTTTTTTTGCACTTGTTTGTGGTGTTTACACTATTCTGCTGCATGTTAACGACATTATTATCACTATTGATAATAAGGTGCAATGTTTTGGAAGTTCACTTTGCTGTCTCAGCTTACTAACTTTGGTGGGTGATTTTGCTCAGCTTTTAAAACCTCACAGTGTGGAAACGGATGGAGTGTCATGTGAGGTTTTGTATGGCATTGTGGTGTGGGTTGCTTGTGGACTCTGTTTGGATTTTGCTCAACATGTTTCCGGTGGCAGTTTTATGATACCACTCAAATTAAAAAGTCCTTAATATGTTGTTGAAGGCTTTCATCACGGTAATCACTGGGTTGTTGTGAGTTTTCCGGGCTGTCTAGCCATGTTCCAGAAGCATTCTCTCCTGACGTTTTGCCCACATCTATGGCAGGCATCCTCACAACCCACTTTCTGGAATAATGTGCCATATATACTCAAATATAAACTGAGTTTTTCAGCCCTTTTTTTAGGCCGTAAAAGCCCTGCTCAGCTTATAATCAAGTCAAAGTTATTTATTATTTTACTGGGTTATTATTATTATTATTATTATTATTATTATTATTATATTCTAATTATTATTACATTGATATTACTTTACTCTATTTTTTATATTTAATTTCTGTTTAATTAAAATTGAATTTAATTTCTGTTTAATTAAAAGAAATTAAACACTGAATTGGGTTGCTGTGAGTTTTCTGGGCTGTATGGACATGTTCCAGAAGCATTCTCTCCTGACGTTTCACCCACATCTGTGGCAGGCATCTTCACACACCCCTTTCTGGAATAATGTGCCATATATACTCAAGTATGAGCTGAGTTTTCAGCCCATTTTTTGGCTGTAAAAGCCCCACTCAGCTTATAACCAAGTCAAAAGTTATTTATTATTTTACTAGATTATTATTATTATATTCTAATTATTATTACATTGATATTACTTTACTCTATTTTTTATATTTAATTTCTGTTTAATTAAAATTGAATTTAATTTCTGTTTAATTAAAAGAAATTAAATACTAGATTGGGTTGCTGTGAATTTTCTGGGCTGTATGGACATGTTCCAGAAGCATTCACTCCTGACGTTTCGCCCACATCTATGGCAGGCATCCTCACAACCCACTTTCTGGAATAATGTGCCATATATACTCAAGTATAAGCTGAGTTTTCAACCCATTTTTTTGGCTGTAAAAGCTCCGCTCGGCTTGTAATCAAGTCAAAGTTATTTATTATTTTACTGAGTTATTATTATTATTATTATTATTATTATTATTATTATTTTACTCCTATTATTATTATTACATTGATATTACTTTATTTTTTATATTTAATTTCTGTTTAAGTAAAATTTAATTTAATTTCTGTTTAATTAAAAGAAATTAAATACTAGATTGGGTTGCTTTGAGTTTTCTGGGCTGTATGGACATGTTCCGGAAGCATTCTCTACTAACGTTTCGCCCACATCTATGGCAGGCATCCTCCCGAGGTTTTGAGGTTTGTTGGAAACTAGAAAAATGGGGTTTATATATCTGTGGAATGATGTCCATGGTGGGAGAAAGAATTCTTGTCTATTGGAGGTAGGTGTGAATGTTTCAATTGGCCAACTTGATTAGCATTTCTAATCAGACAAACAATCTACAGGCCCACTAAGAAAATCCAACAAATGCACTGTTCAGCAAAGGACAAGAGAGATCCTCTCTCTGAAGGAGTTTACCATATACCATGCAAATGTGGATAAGTCTACATTGGGACCACCAAGCAGAGAAACACTATGCGAGGACGCTAAATTACGACACCATAAAAATCTCCAGCCAGCATGCAAAGAATGAGGAAGTACTTCATCAGTGTCACAAATAGACGGTGAAGTGACAGCTCCCCTGGTGCCCAGAATACCCTCATGAAAAAGCTGGAATGTTAAATAGCCTCTGTCTATATATGTTGTGTGTCTATAGCAGGGGTCCTCAAACTAAGGCCCGAGGGCCAGATACGGCCCTCCAAGGTCATTTACCCGGCCCTCGCTCAAGTCGGCCTAAGTCTGCAACGATTTGAAAGCACTCAACAACAACCCCATCTCATCATCCAAAAGCAGGCCCCAACTTCCCATTGAAATACTAATTAGTTTATATTTGTTAATATTGTTCTTAATTTTTATTATTATATTGTTTTTAAGTGCTTTTTGCACTACAAATAAGATATGTGCAGTGTTCATAGGCATTCATTCATGTTTTTTTCAAATTATAATCCAGCCCTTCAACAGTTTGAGGGACTGTGACCTGGCCCTCTGTTTAAAAAGTTTGAGGACCCCTGCTCTATGGCATTGAATGTTTGCCATGTATATGTACACTGTAATCTGCCCTGAGTCCCCTGCGAGTGAGAAGGGTGGAATATAAACACTATAAATAAATAAATAATCCCCCAAACACTGAGGATGCCTGCCATAGATGTAGGTTATTTATTTATCGTGTCATCAGCAACCAGACCATTGTATTACAATTCTAACAGAACAAAACAAACACACAGATTAAAAAGAAAAAAAAACAAACACAGATTTTGCAAACTTGGTAGTTAGTTAAATGTCCTTTGACCAGTATCTGGCCACTTGGAGTGCCTCTGGTGTTGCCGCAAGAAGGTCCTCCATTGTGCATGTGGCAGGGCTCAGGGTGCATTGCAGCAGGTGGTCAGTGGTTTGTTCTTCTCCGCACTTGCATGCCGTGGATTCCACTTGTAGCCCCATTTCTTAAGATTGGCTCTGCATCTCGTGGTGCCAGAGCGCAGTCTGTTCAGCGCCTTCCAAGTCGCCCAGTCTTCTGTGTGCCCAGGGGGAGTCTCTCATCTGGTATCACCCATGATTGAGGTGCTGGGTTTGGGCCTGCCACTTTTGGACTCTCGCTTGCTGGGGTGTTCCAGCGAGTGTCTCTGTAGATCTTAGAAAACTATGTCTTGATTTAAGTCGTTGACGTGCTGGCTGATACCCAAACAGGGGATGAGCTGGAGATGTCTCTGCCTTGGTCCTTTCACTATTGGCTGCTACTTCCCGGCGGATGTCAGGTGGTGCAATACCGGCTAAGCAGTGTAATTTCTCCAGGTGTGGGGCGCAGACACCCCGTGATAATGCGGCATGTCTCATTAAGAGCCACATCTACTGTTTTTTAGTGTGGTGAGATGTGTTCCACACTGGGCATGCGTACTCAGCAGCAGAGTAGCATAGTGCAAGGGCAGATGCTTCACTGTGTCTGTTGTGATCCCCAGGTTGTGCCAGTCAGCTTTCGTATGATGTTGTTTCTAGCGCCCACTTTTTGCTTGATGTTCAGGCAGTGCTTCTTGTAGGTCAGAGCATGGTCCAAAGTGACTCCCAGGTATTTGGGTGTGTTGCAATGCTCCAATGGGATTCCTTCCCAGGTGATCCTCAGAGCTCAGGATGCTTGTCTGTTCTTAAGGTGAAAGGCGCATGTCTGTGTTTTAGATGGATTAGGGATCAGTTGGTTTTCCCTGTAGTAGGCGGTAAGGGCACCTAAAGCTTCGGAGAGCTTCTTTTCAACCATCTCAAAGCTCCCTGCTTGAGTGGGTGAAACGTCAGGAGAGAATGCTTCTGGAACATGGCCAGATAGCCTGGAAATCTCACAGCAACCCAAGTCCTTAATATTTCATGAAATTAGTTTGCAGCATTTGAATTGGATTCAGCCTCTAGGCATTCTATGTGCTATCTCTGATCTGTGAAAGCCAGCTTTCTTTGTGGGTATCTGTACTGTAAAACGTCTTAATCGGTGTGATTTAATATGCAGTGAAACTTTCTAACCTTAACAATTTCTTTACGCAGCTTGATATTTCTTGATTCTTTAATGCTGACAACACACATTATAGTGTTTATATAGCAATGTATATTTAAAAAGGGAGCGGCAGTGGAATGTAATGGTTACATTATTCAACTAGGATTCTGGAAGATTGGGGTTCAAATCTCTGCTCATTTCTAGAAACCCACCCATTGGGTTACTTTGAGCAATCCACTTACTGTATATACTCAAGTATAAGCTGGCCCAAATATAAACAGAGTCCCTTAATTTTCGGAATATTTACTGTATTTCAAAGAAAAACAGTAAACTATTTCTGTAAGTGGAGAAGGAAGGTCAACAAACACAATAAGGTATCAACAGTAACTTAATAATAATAATAATAATAATAATAATAATAATAATCCCAGGTGACAGGATTGCAGAGAAACAACTGGAAAAACTGACACAATATGAGAATTTAAAGCTCGAACTGCAAAGATTCTGGCACAAGCCAGTAAAGGTGGTCCCAGTGGTGATCAGCACACTGGGTGCAGTGCCTCAAGACCTTGGCCTGCACTTAAACACAATCGGCACTGACAAAATTACCATCTGCCAGCTGCGACAGGCCACCTTACTGGGATCCGCACGCATTATTCGCTGAAACATCATACAGTCCTAGAGACTTGGGAAGTGTCTAACGTGTGATCCAATTCAGCAGCCAGCAGAGTATCTGCTGTGGACTCATCTTGTTGTGTTTCAAATAATAATAATAACTTCATTTGTATCCCACCATGCGGATTCAAGCCGGGTTCCAAGATAGTAACAGGCAAACATTCAATGTCTATATAAACAATGCTGAACTAGATACAGATCTATAATTATATATACTAATTTCACATATGCATTTCCCCCTGAAATGTTTGCAAATCCTCTCTATGTATGTGCATTTCCAATGCAATATTTGCAAGCCCTATATATCTATATTTATATCTATCTAGACGTCTCTCTATATATGGTTAATTATATCTATATAGGATTTGCAGGGACTCGCAAACATGTGAGGGGAACATTCATATTTAAAATCTTATACAGATAGACAGACAGACAGATAGATAGATAGACAGACACACAAACACACACACACATTAAGTCCCTGGTGGCCCAGTGGGTTAAACCACTGAACTTGCCGACCAAAAGGTTGGTGGTCCAAATCCAGGGAGCGGGGTGAATCCCTCTGTTAGCTCCAGCTTCTGCCAACCTAGCAGTTCGAAAACATGCAAATATTATTATTATTATAACTTTATTTGTACCCCGCTAGCATCTCCCAAGGGATTCGATGCGGCTTACAACAGGCCGGAGCCCAACACAATACAACAATACAATACATAGCACAATACAACAATACAATACATAAATGTGATTAGATCAATAGGTAACGGCGCTTCATGCAGTCATGCCTAAGGCCATATGACCTTGGGGGTGTCTATGGACAACGCTGGCTCTTTGGCTTAGAAATAGAGATGAGCACCTGAGTCCCAAAGTCGGACACAACTAGACTTAATGTCAGTTAACCTTTACCTTTACCTATATACACACATATACAGATATATATTTATCGATATCTATATCTATAGGATTTGCAGAGACTTGCAAACATGTGAGGGGAAAATTCATATATACACAGGTACATGGACATCTCTAAATATCTATATGCATATAGATATCTGGCTCGGCCTCTTGTAAGCCGCACCGAGTCCTTTGGGAGATGGTAGCTGGGGTACAAATAAAGGATTATTATTATTATTATTATTATTATTATTATTATTATTATATAGAATTTGCAAAAACCTGCAAACATATGAGGGGAAAATTCATATATAAAATTATACAGATATATAGCTACATAGGAATTGCAAAGGCTTGCAGGAGGAAATGCCTATGTATCTGTACGAGAGATTAACAAGTATTTCAGGGTAAAATGCTTTTATAAGATTAATGGGTATATATGGTTTGCAAAGACTTTGGAAGAAACATGCATATAAAGAAACATATTTATAGACCTATAGGGCTTTGCAAAGGCGAGCAAATACTCCCAACGGAACAAAAATTTACATATAAAGTTAATACATTTAGATACACACACAAAAGGCAGGAAATTGGGTGGATTTGAAAGAGAGCCATACAAACAAGGAGGATATGAAATATATCTCCTTTCCCTCCTTCCCTCCCTTTGGGCTGGAAAAGAAAACGCACTGTCAAGGGAGGGGAAGAAAAGAGAGAAATATATCATGTATTGCAAGCAATGGCTGCCAGGTTCTGCTGACCGGCTTGACTCCGTTATAAGGAGGTTTTTTCCATCTCAAGAAAAGGCTTATCTTTGAGTATATATATGTAGGCGCCGGTGGCGCAGTGGGTTAAAGCACTGAGCTGCTGAGCTTGTTGATTGAAAGGTCGCAGGTTCGATTCTGGGGAGCGGCGTGAGCTACCACTGTCAGCCCTAGCTTCTGCCAACCTAGCAGTTCGAAAACATGCAAATGTGAGTAGATCAATAGGTACCGCTCCGGCGGGAAGGTAACAGCGCTCCATGCAGTCATGCCGGCCACATGACCTTGGAGGTGTCTACGGACAACGCTGGCTCTTCGGCTTAGAAATGGAGATGAGCACCACACCCCAGAGTCAGACATGACTGGACTTAATGTCAGGGGACTACCTTTACCTTTACCTTTACCTTGAGTATATATATATATACACAGTATATATGATACTTTCTGTCTCAGAGGAAGGCAATGGCAAACCTCCTCTGAGCAAATATTGTAAAGAAACCCCATAACATAGGAATCAGTCAAAAATAAAGGCCCACAACAATTCAGTTGTATGGAAACTGAAGAATCAAAGTTGGAAAATGAGTGGTGGTTTCTTCTTATTTTGTTCGTTGTCATAGTTCAGGGTGTCATTCTGTACAGAATTTAGATTGAAGCATTTCCAATTGAACGGTTTCTAGCATAACGCCCCAGGTGAATTCCCTCTTTTTGCTGTTTCAGTCGGGTGCCTGATGAGCAAACGGTGGAAAATTTGTCCCCTCGGATTCCACGATCTGTCTTTGAACATCAGGGCAGCGGTGACAATGCGTCCCTCACTCGGTTATCTCCTCCGGAAACGCTACAAGGGGAGGAAGAAAAGGAAGACATGTCTGATTCCTCCGACATCAGCGCCTGCAGTGCCACATATAGCAACTTAGGTAAGCACCTTGCACCTGCACAGCTGAATAAAATCCCACATTGTCTGCTTTGAACTGGATTATATGGCAGTGTGGACTCTGATAATCCAGTCAAAAGCAGATATATTTATTTTATTTTATTTCCCGCATTTCTATCCCGCCGCTTTTCAACCCCAGAAGGGGGACTCGGGGCGGCTTACAATGGGCCCCATTATGAGGCCAATACATAACGATCTATATAAATGAAAATGTAATGTTCGTTTGTGGGATTAACAGAACTCAAAAACCAGTGGGCCAATTGACACCAAATTTGGACAGCATACACCTAACAACCCAATGTATGTCCTTCACTCCAAAAAAATTGATTTTGTCATTTGGGAGTTGTAGTTTCTGGGATTTATAGTCAGGGGCGGCTCAACCCATTACGCAAAGTAAGCATTCGCAGTATAGTTGATTTTGCCCAGGGGCGCTCTTGAGGCGCTCTTGAGGGAAAATAGACTTTGACGTATGCGAGTTGTAGTTACTGGGATGTATAGCTCACCTAAAATCAAAGAGCATTCTGAACTCCACCAATGATGGAGTTGAACCAAATATGGCACACAGAACTCCCATTTATACAAACTCATGTTTTATCTGAGTAACTCATATTGTTAAGCTATTGAATTTATAGCATATGTTTGACCTACAAATGCCACACACTAGAAGAATCCTACATTTATCTCCAGTTCTGACACTATTTTTTTTATTTCATATGTTTCAATTTTGCTTTTTCACCAAGTAATTTGGAAGCAGAATTGGTTTTAAAGGTCACATTTGTAAGACTAGGCACACATTTAGGGCAGCCGTTCATAAATGGTCACAAGTGGGTGCATTCATCTCACTTTGTATGCCGTCTGCCATAAATCAGCCGGAGAAATTGGACACAGTGTGACAGCACACAAATTAATAGGTAAGGATGACACGCTCTCTCCCCTTGTCATTCTTTTGTTTGAAGTGATTATAACCTTTTAGTGTAGTCCTTTCTACTCTAGTTTGCGAGCTCCTTGGGTTAGGAGCAATCCTTTTGCAATCTCTAAAGCAATGTAGGTGAACTATAAATCCTAGCAACTACAACTCCCAAATATCAAGGTCTATTTACCCCAAACTCCCCAGATCCATTATCCACAATGCTCTCTGGATGTAGGTGAATGACAACTCCCAAACGCAAGGGCAATGCCCACCAAAACCTTCCAGTATTTTCTAAAGGTCATGGGAGTTCTGTGTGCCAGGTTTGGTTCAATTACATCGTTGATGGGGTTTAGAATGCTCTTTCATTGTAGGTGAACCATAAATCCCAGCAACTACAACTCCCAAATGTCAAGGTCTGTTTTCCCCGAAATCCACCAGTCTTCATATTAAGGCATGTTGAGTATTCTTGCCAAGTTTGGTCCAGATTTATCATCGTTTGAGTCCACAGTGCTTGCTGGATGTAGGTGAACTACAACTCCCAAACTCAAGGTCAATGCTCACCAGGCCCTCCTAGTGTTTTCTGTTGGTCATGAGAGTCCTGTCTGCCACTTTTGGTTCAATTCCTTCATTGGTGGAGTTCAGAATGCTCTTTGATTGTAGGTCAACTATAAATCCCAGCAACTACAACTCCCAAATGACAAAATCAATTTTTTGGAGTGATGATCACTTATTGGGTTGTTAGGTGTATGCTGTCCAAATTTGGTGTCAATTCATCCAATGGTTTTTGAATTATGTTAATCCCACAAACGAACATTATATTTTTATTTATATAGATGATGATGATGATGATGATGATGATGATGATGATGATGATGATGATTATTATTATTAGAAACACAACAATATGAGTCCACAGCAGACACTCTTCTGGCTGTTGAATTGTATCACACGTTGTTGTTGTTGTTGTTGTTGCTATTATTATTATTATTATTATTATATGTCCAGATACACCAAACTGCTGTCTCACCTAGTGTTTTTAATTTTTTAATCCTTTGAAATTGGCCCTGCCTATTATTATTATTGTTATTATTATTATTATTATTATTATTATTATTATTATGTACTTGTGTCACAGATCCAATGACTATTGTTTCTCCTTCTGCAGGGCAATCCAGAGCAACTATGATACCTCCAAAGCATCCTCGGCAACCGAAGGGGGCTTTGGACGACGCCATTGCTTTTGGCGGAATATCGGATCTGGAAACGGCTCCCAGTTTACATCCAACACCACCTCCCCTGCCAAAGAAAACCATCCTAAGAGCTCATACAGAACCAGTTCCAAAGGAACTCCAGAAACAAACCCTTGAAAACAGCATGTGCGTGATGGCCAACCCTACCTATGACATCGATACCAACTGGGAAGCCAGCAGCGCCTGCTCTTCAGTCAGCTCAGAATTCAAGGCAGTGGACAATGAATCAGGAGACTCCTTGGATAGGCCTCCAACAAAAGGACTGGCAATCTGCTCATCCGCCAATAGCTTTTCCAGCCTAACTGCTACCAGTACGAAGGACAGGGCTTCTAATAGCGTGGAGTCTCTGTCAAGTCGACCTGCCACCCATGGCAAGCATAGCAAAACTGTCCAGAAGCCACAAAGGCAAGCACTTTATAGAGGGATTGAAAACAGGGGAGAGGTGGTGAGCAAGATCCGAAGCCTTCACACTGACTCCCTGAGGAAACTGTCTGCTAAGTGTGAAGACTTGTTCATGGCTGGACAGAAGGACCAGCTTCGATTTGGCGTAGACAGCTGGTCGGACTTCAGATTAACCAGTGACAAACCATGCTGCGAAGCAGGCGATGCTGTCTACTACTCTGCATCTTATGCAAAAGATCCCGTCAACAACTACGCAGTCAAGGTAAGAAGCTAATCCATCAATTGAGATAAACAGTTTTCCTGACTGTGCCTTATATTTGGTTGTCTTTGAGTTAAGGCTTTACTCAGTAAAACATGTGCTCTTCTGTGCTTTGTGATTGCAAAGGCACGTTCATGTTTAGGCTGTGTAATCTTAGTATTTATTTTTGGTGCCATAGTTCTTAGGATCGGGCTGTAAGCCATTCATCATACATTGCATTCCATATGTTTATAGGATGGCCCTGAGAAAATGCAGCAAGTAAATAAAAGCAAGGAGTTAATGCCACAAATTCCTTCCTTTTATGCAAACCGAATTATTTGGCACTGGATCTCCAGCTTTGTTTTTCTTAACATTTCTGACTTTTCAGAAATCTACCCCAATCTATTTTGATTAGTCCTGTTATCAGTTTATAAAGAGACACACTTTCTTCTTTGTTGACAGGGTGGCTGAAATAGTTGTCCTTTTATTTATTATTATTATTTATTTATTTACTCCATTTATACACTGCTTTTCTCCCCTAAGGCAGTGGTTCTCAACCTTCCCAATGCTGTGACCCCTTAATACAATTCCTCATGTTGTGAGGGACCCCCAACCAGAAAATTATTTTCGTTGCTATTTCATAATTGTAATTTTGCTATTGTTATGAATCGTCCTGTAAATATCTGATATGCAGGATGTATTTTCATTTACTGGACCAAATTTGGCACAGATACCCAATATGCCCAAATTTGAATACTAGTGGGGTTGGGGGGATTGATTTTGTCATTTGGGAGTTGTAGTTGATGGGATTTATAGTTAACCTACAATCAAAGATAATTCTGAACTCCACCAACGATGTTATTGAACCAAATATGGCACACAGAACTCCCATGACCAACAGAAAATACTGGAAGGGTTTGGAGCGCGTTGACTTTGAGTTTTGGAGCTGTAGTTCACCTACATTCTCCATTGACCATCACTCAAAAAATGATTTTGTCATTTGGGAGTTGTAGTTTCTGGGATGTATAGTTCACCTACAATCAAAGAGCATTCTGAACCCCACCAATGATGGAATTGAACCAAACTTGGCACACAGTTCTCTCATGACCAAGAGAAAATACTGGAAGGGTTTGGTGGGCAGTGTCCTTTGGTTTTGGAGTTGTAGTTCACCTACATCCAGAGATCACTGTGGACTCAAACAATGATGGATCTGGACCAAACTCTACAAGAATACTCAATATGCCCAAATGTGAACACTGGTGGAGTTTGGGGAAAATAGAATCTTGACATTTGGGAGTTGTAGTTGCTGGGATTTATAGTTCACCTACAATCAAAGAGCATTCTGAACCCCACCAACGATAGAATTGGGCCAAACCTCCCACATAGAACCCCCATGTGGGCCACAGCAACGCGTGGCAGGGGACGGCTAGTCTATATAAATAAAAATGTAATGTTCATTTGTGGGATTAACATAACTCAAAAACCACTGGATGAATTGACACCAAATTTGGACACAAGACACCTATCAGGCCAATTTATGAGTGACCATCACTCATAAAAACACTGAAAAACACAGCAAAAGAGACATTAAAAACCAAAAATTTAAAAAATACATTAGAACGCATGCACAAAACCACACACACACACATATATGAGTGACCATCACTCATAAAAACACTGAAAAACACAGCAGAAGAGACTTAAAAGCCAATTTTTTTAAAAAAAAATGCAACACATGTGCAAAACCACATATATACACATACACATACACACACAAAAAAAAAAACCAGACTGGGCCACAGCAACACCTGGCAGGGGACGGCTAGTTGAACAAATAAACAACAAAAAAACCATAATATTTAGTTCCGTGCAATTTAACATTCAGTTGTTCTGACACTATATAAAAAACCAATTGCACTCAATTCAATGTCTATGTTAACGTGCTAATTTGTTCTATGGATTCCATTACATACCCCTGTATTGTCAAATCATAGCCAATGTTCTTGTACTGAATGCGAAAAATTAAACCGTCCAATTTGTTAAGCTCAAAAATTACCCAACCTAGCTGTGAATCCATAGCTCAGGAGTGCCTCCTAAATTAGAAGATATTCACCAGTGGCAAAGCTCCGACAAAAGATCATGGGAATTACAAACCCCAGGCTCCGCATTCAGGAAATGTAGATGTATTGATTTATTTCTATGGCAAGAAGCCCAGCTAAGATAATTGGAGGCATGGCTGTTCCCATTTGTTCTTGATACAAAATAATTTTAATTGATTTCCCTGAGAAACTGATAGTGTAATTTTTCTTTAACTTATCTTGATTATTTGATAGGAATACAATTACCATTGGTTTAGTTTCAAAATCAGGTCCAAATATTATCTGCTGATGTCCTGTCAAGATACACAAACCATTTGTTCGTCTTGAGTGCAGTACGGCTTTGATCAGGTGTGGCAGGAATAAAGTTCAATAGCATCTTATCTTGTTTTGCTACAATAGGTCAAGTAGGATGATCATCTCGATGAGCCGTTAACGGCTAATTGCATTGTCATTTTCCAAACCCAAAAAACACAGGAAACAAGGTGAAAATTGCTTGGTGAAACAATGTCAACTTTTGAAATGTGATTATTTCTCAAACGAGGCAAAATAAAAGATCTCTTGCAGAATTTTTGTTATGGAGCATTGGGCTTGCATTATAAGTATGCATCCAGACAAGACAGAGGTCCTCCTGGTCAGCTGGAAGGCCAAACAGGGCATAGGGTTACAGCCTGTGTTGGATGGGGTTACACTCCCCCTGAAGGCACAGGTTTGCAGCTTGGGAGTGATCCTAGATTCATTGTTGAGCCTGGAACTCCAGGTCTCAGCAGTGGCCAGGGGAGCTTTTGCACAACTAAAATTGTGCGTCAGTTGCACCCATACCTTGAGAAGTCAGACTTGGCCACAGTGGTCCACGCTCTGGTTACATCCCGTATAGACTACTGCAATGCGCTCTACATGGGGTTGCCTTTGAAGACTGGGCCAGAGTGAAGAGAGAGGTAGCCAAGGGACAGTTCCATCTTGTCTCCTGCCTATGTCATCAGTTGGGGACCACTCCCCCCAGCACCAACTGCTGGTCGGGTCCAGCAGAAGACAGTTCCACCTTGTCTCTTGTGCTATTCTAATAATATAATATAATATATCTATATATATATATATGTATAAATATTGCTCTGTGCATAATGAGTACCTTAAAATCAAAAGAACCATTGAACGAAATCACACCAAATTTGGCAACAAAACGACTCACAACACAAGGAGTGACCATCACTCAAAAAAATATGATTTTGTCATTTGGGAGTTGTAGTTGCTGGGATTTATAGTTCACCTACAATCAAAGAGCACTCTGAACTCCATCAATGATGGAATTGAACCAAACTTGGCACACAGAACTCCCATGACCAACAGAAAATACTGGAAGGGTTTTGTGGGCATTGACTTTGAGTTTTGTGTTCACCAGTGGTGATCGGCACACTGGGTGCAGTTCCTAAAGACCTTGGCCTGCACTTAAACACAATCGGCGCTGACAAGATTACCATCTGCCAGCTGCAAAAGGCCACCTTACTGGGATCTGCACGCATCATTCGCCGATACATCACACAGTCCTAGACACTTGGGAAGGGTCTGACATGTGATCCAATACAACAGCCAGCAGAGTGTCTGCTGTGGACTCATCTTGTTGTGTTTCAAATAATTATAATTATAATAAAACAAAATAACAACAAAAACTTTATTTTTGTGTCCAGCCACCATCTTCCTGAAGGGACTCAGGGCAACTTACATGGGGACAAGTCCGGTCAAACAGAGATTAAAATATAACACAGTAAAAATTACAAATACAAAACATCATAAAAACATAACCAACAACTACTACTACTAGCCTAACAGAATGGCCATATGCAAAGCTCATGGGCAAGGCAGGACTTGAGCAATACAGTTGCAAGGACAGGAGCCTGGATAGAAAAATGCAGGAGCCTGATAAGTTTGGTCTAGGAGGACCAGGCCAGTTGGAGCAATACAACTATAGGGCAGGGACAATGGTAAAGTGCAAGAGCCAGAGTTAAGTTATGGCTAGAGGGGCCAAAATGATCTAGTGAACTGATTAATCAAACATACATTGGAATAATAAATAAGGAGATGTTGCAATTTTGCATAAAACCACTTTGTGTTCACCTGTAATGATCAAAAGTCAATACATATGGAAGAAATAACTCCCCAAATTTAGTCTTTCCCCATAATTCAAACAGAAGAGAGAAGCAAGTGGCCTGATTTATTACACACTAGCTTGGGGACCCGGCGGTGCCCGGGTTATTTCAAAAAGACATTGTGTGCCAAGGTTGGTCTTTATCAGGAAGTTAGTGGAGGTACTGCGAATCTCATCGTCCATGGTCCATCCTCCTTCAAACACACACACTCATATATATATAATACTAGCTTGGGGACCCGGTGCTGCCCGGGTTATTTGAGAAAGGAATTGTGTATCAAGGTTGGTCTTTATCAGTTATTTATATGGCTTGCAGTGGTCTCAGGAAGTTAGTGAAGGTACTGCGAGTCCCATCATCTGTGGTCCATCCTCCTCCAAACTGCACCAGGATGTAGAGTGGGTTATGGGGACTCTGTATACCAAGTTTGGTCTTTATCGGTCATTGGATGAAGGTCGCAGTGGTCTCAATAAGTGAGTGAAGGTACTTCAAGTCCCATTATCCATGGTGAATCCTCATTCAAGCCACAACTGAATATAGAGTGGGTCATGGTGGCTCTGTGTGTCAAGTTTGGTCTTTATCGGTCATTGGTGAGGATTACAGTAGTCTCAGGAAGTGAGTATTCTGCCTTTCCAGAATAGGAAAACCCCAGCAACACGTCCCAAAAGCACTTTATTAGAGATTAAGATTGTCCGCACATTGCACCTATCCAAAAATCCTTATATATCACTCAGCACACTCAGCACTTTTTAATCTGTACCCATTACATTTGCCCGGCCTAGTTTTTATTGTATCACGGTGTGTTGTTTTATTGTTTACTGTTATTGCTTTAATGTTTTTGATTTGCTTTGGTTTATATGTAGCTAGCTGTCCCCTGCCACGTGTTGCTGTGGCCCAGTCTGTTGATCTGGAAAATAAAGTAATGAGAAAGTGTTGGTTTCTAATATATGTAATTTCTTTATGCTTGTGGGTAAACAGTATTTCTTGCTGTTTCTTTGTCAGTGTTGATGTGGAGAGTGTCTGGTTTGCCCACCCTGGAACATGCAACATATCATTCTCCTCCTTTAGGGGCCCCTTTCAAATCTATGATACTATATCTGTGTGTGTGTGAATTCTCATATCTATCTATCTCTATGGTTGGATGGCTCTTTGTCAGGAGGACTTTGATTACGTTTTCTTACCCTGATGAAGAGAGTTGGATTGGATGGCCTTAAGTATTTTCTGTTGGTCATGGGGGTTCTGTGTGGGAAGTTTGCCCCGATTCTGTTTTTGTGGGGTTCAGAATGCTCTTTGATTGTAGGTGAACTGTGAATCCCAGTGACTACAACTCCCAAATGTCAAGGTCTATTTCCCCCAAACTCCATCTGCGTTCATATTTGGGCGTATTGAGTGCTTGTGCCAAGTTTGGTCCAGATCCATCATTGTTTGAGTCCACAGTGCTCTCTGGATGTAGGTGAACTACAACTCCCAAACTCAAGGTCAATGCCCACCAAACCCTTCCAGTATTTTCTGTTGGTTATGGGAGTTCTGTGTACCAAGTTTGGTTCAATTCCATCGTTGATGGAGTTCAGAATGCTCTTTGATTGTAGGTGAACTATAAATCCCAGCAACTACAACTCAAATGACAAAATCATAATTTTTTGAGTGATGGTCACTCCTTGTGTTGTGAGATGTTTTGTTGCCAAATTTGGTGTGATTTTGTTCATTGGTTCTTTTGTTTTTAAGGTACTCATTATGCAAAGAGCATTTTTATATATATAGATGTTATATTGTGTGTTGAGGCCTTGGCCTTTGTAAGCCGCATCGAGTCCTTCGGGAGATGCTAGCGGGGTACAAATAAAGTTTAATAATAATAATAATAAAATAATAATAATAATAATAATAAATAAAGTATTGCAAGTCCCATCATCCATGGTCCGCCCTCCTACAAAGTGCAGCAGGATGTAAAGCGGGTCATGGTTTTTATCGGTCTTTGTTGGGGGCCACAGTGGTCTGTGGGAACCAAAGAGTTTGAAAGTACTACAAATCCCATCATCCATTTTCTGTACTTCCCCAAACCTCACCAGAATGTAATGGGGGTCATGGGGGTTATGTGTGCCAAGTTTGGTCCAGGTCCGTCACCCATGCTGGTCACAGTGGTCTGTTAAAGTGGGAGCCAATCAGAGAGCTGCCGCATACACCACCACATACAAACATTCACTTTTGTTATATATATAGATATACATTATGTGGTAAAAGCATCCTGAGCACATCCAATTCAAGATAAATCAGAATTCCTGCTCTCATTTCATGGATATGTATAAAAAATAGCATCATAAGACCTAGAATGAGCCAACATGGCCCGGAATGGTTTTCCCTCCTTTAAAACCCTTTCTCCTGTTTGTCTTTTCTTCTGGTAGATCTGCAAGAGCAAAGCGAAAGAATCCCAGCAGTATTACCACAGTTTGGCCATCCGTCAGAGCTTGGCTATCCATTACAACATCCAGCAGGATTGTGGCCATTTCCTCGCAGACGTGCCTGTCCGGCTTCTTCCATGGGAGGATCCCAACTCCCCGGAAGAGGAGGAGGAAGAGCAGGATGACGACGCGCAAAAGAACAAAGGAGGCCCTTCCTGTGCGGAGGTTTCACGGAAAGACAGTCCGAGCCCAGACGGGACCATCAGTAGACAGCGCAGCCGGGTTGTGGTGATCACCAGAGAGGTTCCTTATCTGACCGTGGCAGACTTTGTGCGAGCATCTTCCGATCGCCATGTGAATAACCCAGACTTTTACGAAAGGCAGGTGTGCCTCCTCCTTTTGCAGCTGTGTTCTGGTCTGGAGCACCTAAAGCCCTATCACATCACGCATTGCGACCTGCGCCTGGAGAACCTCTTACTGGTGGACTACCGGCCGGGAGGCACTCTCCTCAACTTTGACTCGGTGGAACCCACTCCGACGGCCGCTTGCCCCGCCAGGCTGATAGTGAGCAATTTCTCTCAGGCCAAGCAAAAGACTCACATGGTGGACCCAGAAGTCCTGAAAGACCAGTCCCGCCTCGCTCCGGAGATTATCACGGCAACCCAGTACAAGAAATGCGACGAGTTCCAAACCGGCATCCTCATTTACGAAATGTTACACCTGCCCAACCCCTTCGACGAGAACCCGGAGCTGAAGGAGAAAGAGTACACGCGTGCCGACCTGCCCAGAATCCCCTGCCGCTCGCTTTATTCCCTGGGACTTCAGCAGCTTGCGAACTGCTTGCTAAACCCGAACCCCTCGGAGAGGATCCTGATATCGGAGGCCAAGGGCGTCCTGCAGTGTTTGCTTTGGGGTCCCCGAGAGGACGTGTTCCAGACTTTCAGTGCCTCCTCCCGTCTGGCCCAAAGGGAGACGGTGCTCCAGAACTGGCTGGACATCAAACGGACCCTGCTGATGATCAAGTTTGCCGAGAAGTCTTTGGACCGGGAATGTAAAGTGAACCTTGAAGACTGGCTTTGCTGCCAGTATTTGGCGTTTGCCACTACGGACTCCCTCAGCCGAGTCGTGAAAATCATGCAGCGGCGTTAATTTATGTGAGCTCTGTCCTTTCTCCAGCCACGTGCTGTGTGTGGAAGTGTGACACCTCTAGTCTAGGTCCCAAGGTTGCCAACACTGAGCAAACAGATCCTGTCCGGAAGGGCTGTTTCCGGTTAGAGGTGCAAGAGGGAGGTGTGACACTCATTGCTTAGTACGGCTAGCGACTGGGCAAGGGAGTGTCCACAAACGTCAAAGGGAAACCACTACTGCCGTTCTCATTTTATGCCCTGCGTTGCAAAGGAAAGCACCCGAAATGAGTGTGAAGCCTGTCACGACTGAGCCAGCAGAATGTAAGCCATTTCTCACAAAGATAGGCCTTCTTTCTTGTCAGCCCAGCCCATCGAAAGTGTGACTCAGCCTCACTAGGTTTTGAAATGCAGCTCTGATTTTATCCTTGGGAATGAGAAAGCGCTTTGGACTCCAGCACGGGGTGGTGACTCATTTGTAGCCATTAGACGTCGGCAATCCATGGTTCTAAATGATTCTAAAGTACTTACAAAGTTAAGTTCTGGTGATGAAAATTAGGGGGTGCTAGGTGCTTTCTTGGGGAGCCCCTGGTGGTGCAGTGGGTTAAAACACTGAGCTGCTGAGCTTGTTGATCGAAAGGTCGCAGGTTCAATACTGGGGAGCGGTGTGAGCTTCCACTGTCAGCCCTAGCTTCTGCCAACCTAGCAGTTCGAAAACATGCAAATGTGAGTAGATCAATAGGTACCGCTCCGGCGGGAAGGTAACGGCGCTCCATGCAGTCATGCCGGCCACATGACCTTGGAGGTGTCTACGGACACCAGCTCTTCGACTTAGAAATGGAGATGAGCACCACACCCCAGAGTCAGACATGACTGGACTTAATGTCAGGGGACTACCTTTACCTTTACCTTTTAGGTGCATTCTTTCTACAGCATTGCTAAAGTTCTGGTGGTGAAAATTAGGGGGTGCTAGGTGCTTTCTTGGGGAGCCCCCGGTGGCGCAGTGGGTTAAAGCACTGAGCTGCTGAGCTTGCTGATCGAAAGGTCGCAGGTGATTCTGGTCATGAAAGCCTTCCACAACACACAAATAAGAATACTAGAGTTGTCCCTGCCAAATGTAAATGAGAGGAGGAGAGTGTTTTCATCACTCTCTTCTCTTAAACTATGGCTGTAGATTAGAAAACTCATCTCTATCTCTATGCCTGTATTGTTACACAAAGCACAGTTTTAAAAAAATCCTTTACCGCACACCACACATGGCTGCAGAGCAGATGCAGAATGTGGTTGCCCTTGGTTTGGAGAAAGGGACAGTTCCTGCTAATAGACGATTGCGTCCACTGGCCTCAGGCTCTTCCACTGCCCTTGGTTAGCATTATCATAATTAATAGTCCATCAATAATCTCTAGCAGAATTAATGTGTCAGGCATTCTGGCAAAAAGAAAAAAGATGGCTAGATGCAGGGTTCGTGACCAGAAACGATAAATCATAATTCATGGTCAGTAAAGACAAAAAATATTAATATGGAAGTTGGTCGGAGGGAAGGGGAAAGAGCTCGGTGTGTCTGAATGTTGAGCGGAGAGACAGCCAGTGCGGAAACGGGTTAAGCACCACTTTTTCTTTAGTATCACAATCTAGTATCGGCGACTTTTCAAAGTTGTTTTCCTGCTGTCGAAGGCTTTCATGGCCGGAATCACTGAGTTGCTGTCATTTTCCAGGCTGTCTGGCCATATTCTAGAAGCATTCTCTCCTGACGTTTCACCTGCATCTATGGCAGGCATCCTCAGAGGTTGTGAGGTTTGTTGGAAAGCATGGCAAGTGGGGTTTATATATTTGTGGAATATCCAGACAGGGAGAAAAAACTCTTGTCTCTTTGAGGCAGGTGTGAATATTGCAACTTGTGACCTGGATTAGCCTTGAATGACCTTTCAGCTTCAAAGCCTTGCTGCTTCCTTCCTGGGGGAATCCGTTGTTGGGAGGTGTTCACTGGCCCTGATTATTTCATGCCTGGACATTCCAAAAATAGATAAACCCCACTTGCCTAGTTTCCAACAAACCCCACCACCACTGAGGATCCCTGCCATAGATACGGGCGAAATGTCAGGAGAAAATGCTGGAACATGGCCGTGCAGCCTGTACAGCAACGCAATTTTTTTTTCTAATTTTCCTTGCATAGACTTTGGCTGGCAACATATTTTGTAGGCCTGGGTAATCCATGGTTATAAATTACTTACAAAACTAAAATTCTGGTGGTAAAAATTTCAGAACTCTAACAAAACTTTCAAAAATTAATTATTATTTCATTATTGGTGATTTTTACGATCGAACCCATTAGGAACTGCCATTTATAATGACATTTTGAGAGTTTTGTTAGAGTTCTGAAATTTTCATCACCAGAACTTTAGTTTTGTAAGTACTTAAGAACCATGGATTGACCAAGCCTAATATTTTGGTGTTTTCCTGCTTCTATTGGTGATCTGAAATGCCATGTCTGAAAAAGTCATTGGTAAAGTAAGGAAATGTTAAAGAAACAAGTCCAAGCACCCAAATGAAGCGGCTATCTTCCTAGACTGACACGCTGGCCTTTGTCTTTGCTCTGCTGCACCCGATCTCTCTGCTCAGTGTTGGCTCTTCTCCTTTGGATGGTTCTGAAACGACGGAGTCGAAGCCTGGGACTGAAATCCCACAACTGGGAATGGTTGCTGGAAGGCGGAGCGCTCTTGTGTTCCTCCTCTGGATATATGTGCAATTTAGGGATGTATTATACGAAAAGCCGTGTAAGTGTTTACGTTGCATCACAGACTAACCATACGTTGGATCTGCCTCCTTTCCTTCCGCGGCACATAGATGCACAAAGTTGTGTGTGCTCTTTCTTCCTTTTCTCTTTCTTTCTTCCAGATTGAGGTTTTTATTGATAAGCTGTGACTAAGCCTTGGAGACAAATGGCCACTTTGAACAACTTTGGCATTTTTTGGTAACTCAGAAACCAAGCCTAAAGTGAACCCAACCTTGTAGTTCATAGATACCTGAGCCCAACGTAGAATGCACGGTGGCTTCTTATAATCTTTTATATCCTCTGGTTAGTAGTGAAACAAGATTAAGGATAATGTGTGTGAATGGATCCTGATTTGCTTTCAGTTGGGGTGAGAAGCAAAGAACCCGGATACAACCCCCTCCTGGCTGCTTTTGGAGGCTTCTAGAAGCAAGTTGCGTTTTTTGGAAGCCTCCAAGAAAGTATGGGGTGGCAATTACATTTGGAATGCATTCCTAGCCATTTAAGGTCTGGAGGTGGCCCAAAAGTATTGTTTAGATGGAGATAACTATAGTGGCATATCAAGAAACAATATGCCAAGGCCTAGAATGTAAGATCTGGTTGTTATCTAACCAGTAGGCATGTGCAATCCATGGTTCTAAAGTACTTACAAAACTAAAGTTCTGGTGGTGAAAACTAGGAGGCGCTGGTGCTTTGCTTCTACAGTGTTGCTAAAGTTCTGGTGGTGAAAATTTCAGCACTCTAACAAAACTTTCAAAATTTCATTATAAATGGCAGTTCCTAATTGGTTCTGTCATAAAAATCAATAATAATAACTTTATTTATACCCCGCCACTATCTCCCTGTTGCAACCCAGATCAGGAAATGAGTCCATAAGATTAATCCACCACACTTGACTGTGGGGAAAAAAACAATTCTTTTTTATTGAAGAAAAATTGTTACAAAATAGAGGAAAATACAAAGTCAAAAAGCCACAGTAAAACTCAGCAGTCAGGAATATCTCATAACTAGATCAAAATTCCAAAAGCATTACTATAAAAAGCTGGAACCTGTTAGCATCTCACTAACCGTACTTGGAAACTAGAAGCCTCTGGGAATGCAGGCCATGAGAAACGGGAAATCTGCCAAGGTATTGCCTCAGTCTAAACGATGCTTGATCTAACGGGACGGCCCGGGGAGAGACACTTTAAACTAAAGAAACTGTTTYGGGACACACCTCCAGACTTTGAAGCCTGTGCCTCCCTTTCCTTTAATCTGCTTGACCTTCGCAGACTCTGCGATTCACTCCTGTTTTTCCAAATCTGTCCTTTTCTATCCTYAWTTTAAAAAAAGGCAGGTGCTAGCTCCTCTGGAGAGCKATCACYGCCTGAATCTGAAACATTCTCATCAGGCTGTGCAGTTTCMCTTTCCMMGCCACTGACCTSAGAATCAACAGTTTCMAAACCATCAGGGAAAAATACATGTTCAGTAGCCTGTTCASTTGCATCAGGAAATACAATCAGAGAATCAGGTTCAGGTTCACATGCAGGCTGAACCCCAACACTCCCCAAGGGACTCGGAGTGACTTACATGAGGCCAAGCCCAACAGTACGTCAATAAACAAAGGCACTAAACAAAAACAATACATACAATACAATTAATATAAATCACATATAAACAATAAACAGTAACACAAGGATTTAAAAACCTATGGCCGGGCCAAATGTAATAGGTAAAAAAATTAAAAAATAAACGCTGAGCATGTACAAGGTGAGATATAACTGATATATGGTTTTCAAAGAGAGATGAGGAAATGCAGTCAATCCTAAACCAGTAGTAAGTGCATTCTGAGGGCATATTGCTGAGATTTTTCTTATTCTGGGAAGGCACACTGGAACAACCACGTTTTCAGACTCCTCCTAAAGACTGCCAGAGTTGGGGCATGTCTGATGTCCTTGGGAAGTGAGTTCCAGAGTCGGGGGGGCCACCACCGAGAAGGCCCTCTCCCTCATCCCCACCAATCGCTCCTGCGAAGGAGGTGGGAGCATGAGCAGGGCCTCTCCAGATGATTGCACCACCGGGGGCTCTGAACTAATTAGGAACTGCCATTTATAATGAAATTTTGAAAGTTTTGTTAGAGTTCTGAAATTTTCACCACCAGAACTTTAGCAACACTGTCGAAGCAAAGCACCAGCGCCCCCTAGTTTTCACCACCAGAACTTTAGTTTTGTAAGTGCTTTAGAACCATTTAGAACCATGGATTGCACATGCCTACTAACCAGGCCAATGAAAGAAAGCCATTTGGTGCAAGTTTTCTGCAATATATAGCAAAATCCTTCAGAGCCGTGGTCCTCAACTTGTGGCTCCCCAGATGTTTTGGCCTTCAACTCCCAGAAATCCTAACAGCTGGGGACCCACATGTTGACAACCTAAGGACAACAAACTTGGGTTCAATGTATTGTCGAAGGTTTTCATGGCCAGATTCACTGAATTGTTGTGAGTTTTGTGGCCTGTATGGCCATATACCAGAAGCATTCTCTCCTGACGTTTCGTCCACATCTATGGCAACCATCCTCAGAGGTTGTGAGGTATATTGGAAACTAGACAAGGGAGGTTTATATATCTGTTGAAGTTCCAGTGTGGGAGACAGAACTTTTATCTGTTGGAGGCAAGTGTGAATGCTGCAGTTAATTGATTAGCATTGCAAAGCCTTGCAGCTTCAAGGTCTTGCTGATTCCTTCCTGGGGGGATCCTTTGTTGAGAGGTGTTAGCTGGTTCTGATTGTTTCATGCCCTGTTTTCAGAGTGTTGAGCATTTAAAAACTCTAAAATCAGGACAGTAAATAAAGAACAATACTTGTTAGCCGCCTCGAGTCCCCATTGGGGAGATGGTGGAGGGGTATAAACAAAGATTATTATTATTATTATTATTATTGTGAATACAGAGGAATTCCAAACAGGGAGCAGTCAGGGCCAGCTAACACCTCCCAACAAAGGTTTCCCCCATACAGGAGGAGGTTCACAGATTCTTTTTGCTTGCTCTGCCAGGGCTTGAATTGTGCTTCTTTTTTGACTTTGGTGATGGTTGGAGTTTTTATGTACGTATATTTCCATGTATGCCTTGTTTCCAACAAAACTTACAACCTCCGAGGATGCTTGCCATAGATGTGGGTGAAACATCAGGAGAGAATGCTTCTGGAACATGGCCAGACAGGCCAGAAAACTCAGCAACCCAGTGATTCCAGCCATGAAAGCCTTCGACAACACAGTAAACTTTCCATGCATTACAGACATGGAGA